ATCAATAAACGAGACTTGCAAAGTAGCTTTCATCAGCATTTTCTTCTCTGAAACAATGTGAATCAACGTAAAATACCTAAGTGAATTTTCGTTAAGTCTCTCCTGGTTTTAAGAAGGTGTAAGGGCTAATTAAAGGACTCGCAACTAAGAGCTCTTGAAACCTTGTACAACTTAAGATCATTAAATAACGAAAAAAGATATATAAACAAGCCGCAAACTAAGTTTGCGGCCAAATCTTGTGTCCTTGTCCATTAAATAATTAAACAAAGTATCGTAATCAATAAAGATCTAACCCCCCTCCCCCTAATGATCGCAACATGTCAACCCAACAGATCCCAACATTGCTGTGCGTAACATGTTGCGCGCGCTTCGCCACCCTGTTGATACGCGTTCCGACATATTACCTGCTGGTGGCTCATACTCGACTAAAACACCAAACACGTCGCAACAGGGTGGCAAAACGCACAACAGAGGAGGTAGTAGGGAGCAAGATGACTCTTTTTCCCTCCTTCCTCCTCCACAGAGGAGGTAGTAGGGAGCAAGATGACTCTTTTTTCCCTCCTTCCTCCTCCATCGCATAAGTGAACAGCTTGGAACACAGCGTGGCAAAAACAGAACAAAGGCAGACTACCTTCTCAAAGTTCTGAGGAAATGTAACAGCAAGTTTGATTGCTGAGTCTAAGAGATGTTGTACGTAAAGAACATCAAACCTTCTCTTCACACGCAAACCGACTCCATTCGCGCCAAACTGTTTACGTGACACTGTCGTACATTTTTTTTTCTTTTTGTGTTTCTTACCTTGGGAATTATACCCATAGGACCCGCAAATATTTTATGTATTGTTTCATATTTTATATATTCGTATTACACCTCATACTTTTTTCACTTTTCAACTTGATAATGGCGTAACGTAGCGCCGAAACGTCTTTCGCTTTTTCAAATGTGTTTCAGTTAAGAATCTTTTGGCGTTTAACTTCTTGATCAATTATTAATGAGTTTAAGAAATTAATTTATACATGCAGTTAATGAGGGAAAATCGACTTTTCTATCTTTTTGCAAATTTCTCGAAAGCTATAAACTTTTAGGAAGTTTCATTGGTATATTCGAAGATAGTTCTTCAAAATTAATTGTTCTTTAGGGAACGTATTAGGGTGTTTGAATTTTCGAGTTCGGCCAACGATTCTCGAGATTTTCAGTCTCAGTGACTTTTAATCATTGAAAGGAAATCGAGAAATTATACTTTTAAAAAAAGTCAAGCTAATTACACAAAAACATCATTCAGAATTTAGATTAAAATGTGTGTAGGTATATCGAGCTTTTCTTTTTAATTTTACATTCGTGTAAAATACACACTTGGAAAAAAAATCGGTGCTAGGCCAGAAAACTATGAATAGCGAATTCTACCGTACATTAATTAGCACTGTCTGGCGTTAGTTTAGCTTAGCTCTGTTAGAGAGAAATCATAAATTACTACTGGCAAAAAAATAATGGCATCATAAATTTATGGTTGGCTGAAAATATATAAATGTCGTCTTTTAAAATTGTAATAGTTCCAATTTTAATGCGTTCCCCAAATGTACGTAATTAAAAACTAAACAGTAGTTTTATTTGGTCTTTTTTTCTAATGCATCTCCACCTGTCGAGCTGTCCCATTGGCTGGGAAGCCTGACTTGAACAAAACAGTTCTTTAAAAAAAGGGGAAAAAACACACTTTCCAATTTTTTCCTGACCAAGTCACGTGACTTCCAGGTCGTATCAGTGGTAAATAACCCAATGTCGTATCCAGGTTCTTTTCGGACTAATAGATTCAATATGGCGAACACTCCAACTGACATTGCAAATGGACTCCAAGTGTCCCTACACATTTATAAAATGAATAAATTAACGTCCCTTTCCCTTGAAAAGATAGTCAAAGGATCAAAGAAGTAGGATAAGAGAATGGGGCATAAATTAAGATTTTCCTAGTAAAAAACAAAATTGCATCTGGAGTAGGTAAGGCAAACCTGAAATTTTAAATTAAATCTTGAACAGAGTGGATCTTGAAAAGGATGTTATGTAGATCAAATCGCCAACTTACATGTCTCAGAACGTTACTGGGAAATTTAACATATTTTGGCCTGGGAGCCATGATGGACAATAATTATTACTTGGTACTCCAGGTACATGGCTTTAAGTTTTGTTGTAAGCCAGACGCCATTATTATAATGCCTCTTAACATTGGAGACAACTACATCAAACAAACAAAACAAAACAAAACAAAAACCAATAACAATATTTCTTCTTGCCAAGTCATTCAACTTGTGTTCAATTCATGCACATCTCTCCCTGGGCATCTGAGAACTGACAACCCTCTCTGCCCAGTAGACTCCTGCTAAAAGATCCCGAAAAGTTTTTTGCACCCGAAAAGCATTTGCTAAATCTTAAAACTTTTGACTACAGAGCTGTTTTATCCATGTATTCTTAATACGAACAGAGGTTCTCCTCATGCAAGACGTTTTAGGCGTATACATCACTCTGTCTCATACCGATTAACTAAAAATGGCTTTTCGGGCCCAAAAAGATTCAGGGCTTTCGAGAAATGGGCCCCCGACCTTTTGGGCT